ATTATGGTGCCAGTTCTGCAGAGCTTTATGTTCTGACGCTGGGGTTTGATTAAATTTTCTCTTTGTTTCTCCTCCACGTTTCTCTTTTAAAACTGCTGCAGCAACATGCTGATGAGGAACCTGAATGGAATCTGCTATCTGAAAAGAAACAAAACAGTAGAATTGACCTCACAATGCATGCACTGCCACCACAATAAAAAATGGAAGATGAGAGGAGAAGAGAATCATTCAGACTGCAGTACCTTTACCTGATCAGAGAGGTACAAAGATGGGGCACCAAGCACACACTCAAAACAATGGATTTAGCCAAGTAACTGAACTCAAGCAATGATGTTACTGCAGCCCCAGCTCCTCCCACGGTAGCCTGATGCCATCAGCATCAGTGTTCCCTCCAGAGCCTCCACCTGCACACAGGACCTCAAAACCTGCTGGTGCAGTTTCTCTGGAGGCAAATCCTCCCCCACAGAGCACGATGACAAGGAACGCCACACCTCAAGCCTGCCCTGTTTGAGACAAGTGCTGAAATAAATCACATCACATCACATTCCCCTCTAGAAAAGCAATTTTATAATCGACCTGAGTATTTCCTCTGGCCAAGGCTTCCATCTTCAACTCCTGGAGACTTCCCAAAACATGATGAGGAAGAATTTCTTCACAGCCTTCACCGAACAGTGCCGGTCCTACAACAAAAACACCAGACCCCAGGGCAGGTCACTAAATCTAGGCCTGCCACAACCAAAAATCAAAGGTAAACTCTGAAGCTTAACCCTACCAGAGAAACACAGCGGCTCCCTGGCTGTCCTTGGGAAAGCTGGCCGTGCTACCAGGAGGCGCGGGGCTGCTTTGGCCTCTCTGGGTTGGTATTTCCGAACCAGGAATTTCCTCCTGACTGGAATCCTCCCAGCATCGTGGGGCAGGCGTGGAGCGTGGAGCTGCAGGAAAGAAACAATCACAGCACAGTCAGCTACAAACTGACTTTCCTTTGTTCCTTCTGACCCATCTGGGACACGCAGGGAAGTCCTATCAGCACACGCCGCTTCTCATCACATGCTGCACAGAGCCACAAACCGTCCGGGTTGGAAGAGCCCTCTACGGTCATCCACCCCACAGCCCTCACTGCCACATCCCGGCGATGCTCAGCACCCTGGGGCTCCCCGTGCCACCGCATCTGGGAGAAGGAACTGTTCCCACTGCCCGACCCGAACCTCGCAGGCACAGCCCGATGCCGCCGCTCTCTGCCTTATCTGACTGCGGAGACACCCGCTCAGTTCCCACCCCGCTCCTCTGGACTCCACGTTAGAACCGGGGCAGGGACAGGAGTTCCCGATCGTTTCCCGTGCCGGTGGATGCCAGGCGCTGACCCGTCCCAGCCCATCGGGAGCAGAGGCGGCTGACGAGAGCCGAGCCGCGGGACGGTGGCGGGCCGGGAACCGACGGACAGCGGGGGCAGGAGGAGCTCGGGCTGAGCTCAAACAGCGGGTCGGTGCTCAACGGCGGGGCCGGGAGCTCTGCGCACCGGGGACCCGTGCAGCGAAGGCAGCTTTTTGCGCCGGGACAAACACGCACTTTTTCCAGGTCCTCCAGCCGAACGGCGAGCGCTCGGACATCGCCGCTCCGCAGCGGGCACAGCGCGGGCCGCGGCTCTGCGGGGAGCGCCGGGCTCCGCTCCTTCGGCTCTGAAACGCACAAGGCCGGAGCGCCTCAGCACCGGGAGCCGCACCGCACCGGGAGCCGCACCGCACCGGGAGCCGCACCGCACCGGGATGCGGCCCCGGGTTCACAGGAGGGGAGCGGGTCGCGCACCCGATGCGGATGGGGACGGGGACGCGGCCCGGCCCTTCCCGCGTCCCTCCCGCCTCCGCAGCGTGCGGCCCGCCGGCATCCCTCGGCCCGGCGCCATGGCAACGCGGCGGCACCACAGAGAGGCGCGCCTAGAGCGGCCCGCGCCGCCGCCGCTCTATGGTGCCGCCACGTGAGCCGTGCGCACGCGCCGAGCGGAAGAGCACCGAGCCGCGAGCGCCGCCTGCCGGACCCGCCCGGCGCTTCGTCGCACAGAGTCACGCAGATCATCCCGTCCAGCCGCTGGACTTACTGACAGACAGACAGACAGACAGCAGAGGCTTTGTGGACGGTTACATCGTTGTAGCCTTCATTGCTATTTTATGCCCTACGTGTTCAACGAGGCAAGTTGCTCTGTGACCCTCGGCTCGCTTTTGGTGTCTGTCCGAACCCGATGAGGTGGTACTGAGATTATCTGACTCTTCAGCAGCTACGACGGCAACATCCGGCACCCGGGCCGCGCCGCGAGCTCCGCCGTTCCCTCGGCCCCACAATCGGAGTTTCACGGCGTTTATTGCCCGCAGCCGCGGCGAGGCCTCAGCACGATCCCCGTCCCCCGCCGTCCTCCTCCTCCACCGCGTTCCAGCGACGCCTCAGTTGGTACAGCAGCACGGGCAGCAGCGAGTCCAGCAGGGGCAGCCCGGCGGGCGTGCAGCGCAGCGCCCTGTAAAGGCAGCGCCTGAGCACCGCCCCGCACCGAGCCCGCACCGCCGTTCCGGTACTCACCGCCCATTCAGCCGCAGCCAGCCCTGCTCCTGCAGTTCTCTCGCCTCCCCCGACGCCCCGAACGCGGCCTCCAGGCTCAGGCTGGGGGAGAAGAGCCCCCAGCGCTGCGAGGGATCGGCGGTCAGCGGCGGCTCCTCGGCGAGGTGCCCGCGGCCGGCAGGCGCTCACCTGCTGCGTGACGCCCTCGTCCGTGCGCAGCCCCAGCGCCAGCACCTCCTGCAGCCTGCGGACGCGGAGGTTACGGGGCCGCGGGAGGCGCGGAGGGCGCTCCTCCGTCCCGTCCCGTACTCACAGCTCCAGCGGGCTCAGCGCCGCCCGCCGCCGGGTGCCGTGCCCGCAGCTCCGCACCTCCCGCATCCACGTGTCAGGGTGCGGCGTCTGCACGCGTGCCTCGCGCAGGCGGCCGCCCTCTCCCCACGGCACGAAGCGGCCGTGCGCCCCTGCGACGGCACAGAGAGCAGAGAGGATGCGGCGCACACGCGGCCCGGCGCAAGGTCGCCGCCGCCAACCCCAGGGCTTACCCGGCCCCACGCCCACGTACTGCTCGGCCCGCCAGTAGGAGAGGTTGTGGGTGCTGCGGGCGCCCTGCAGGACAGCGGTGCGGTGGGTGAGGAGGGGCTGCGCCGGTGGCGGGGGCTCGAGGTGGGGGCGCTCACCTTCCTGGCAAAATTGGAGACCTCGTACTGGTGGAAGCCGGCGGCCGCCAGCGTGGCGCGGGCGCTCAGGTACAAATCGGCCAGCAGCTCCTCGGGGGGCTCAGGCAGGACCCCCCGCCGCACTTGGGCCTCCAGCGCCGTGCCCCGCTCCAGAGTCAGCTGGTACAGGGCCAAGTGGTCGTCACACAGCCCCAGCGCCGCCTCCAGGCCGCGTGCCCAGGCCTCGCGGCTCTGCCCCGGCAGCCCAAAGATGAGGTCGAGGGAGACGCGGCCAGGAAAGAGCTTCCGTGCCGCCTCCGCCGCCGCCCGCGCCTCCGCCGCCGTGTGCTCCCGGCCCAGCAGCCGCAGCTCAGCGTCGTCCAGGGACTGCGGATGGAGCACGGTGGCAGCGGAGCTGCGTGGGAACAGAGGGCTGGGATGGGGCAGCCGCTCTCACCTGGACGCCCAGGGACAGGCGGTTGATGCCGGCCGCCCTGAAGCCAGCGAGGCGCGCGGGGTCAGCGGAACCGGGGTTGGCCTCCAGCGTCACCTCGGCTCCAGCAGGGAGATGAGCGACCTCCGCAGCCGCCTCCAGCACGGCGGCGATGGTGTGCGGGGCGGCCAGGCTGGGGGTGCCCCCACCGAAGAAGACGGAGGTGACGCTGCAGGGAGGGCAGGGGAGAGGCTGCAGGCGGCCGCTGAAGGGCCCCGTACCTCCCGGGCCCCAAGGCGGGCACCCACCTCTGCACATGGCCGAGGCGCAGCAGGGTTTGCGTCTCCCGCACCAGACAGGCACGCACGGCCGCCTCGTCCACAGCCGGCACCACGTACTTGTTGAAGCTACAGTAGGAGCAGTGCTTGCGGCAGTAGGGCCACTGCGGGCACAAGGTGTCTGTGGGGCACGCGGCTGTCCCACCGCAGGGGTACGGCCCCGCACACAGCATCGACCCCCAGTGCCCACCGCCCGCACCCCTGGCTGCTGCCCTCTGCACGCACAGAGCCTTCAGCGCCCCGTCGTGCGCATGGCAGCGGCACCCCGCGAGCACCAGCAGCACCAGCCGCATCAGCCCGCAGCCGCCACAAGCGGGAGCCCCTCCGTGGCCGAGCCCCGCTCCCCACGCATAAGAGCCCCGTACGCGTCCACCCCCGCGTCCCCACGCTCACGTGCACGTAGAGAGCCGCTGTCACGGGCCCCGCCGGTTCAGGGCCGGGCTCGGAGGGCTTCGAGGCCGATCTCAGTCCCGCAGCGCAGCCCGTCCCGCGTGGCCGCACCGCCCCGAGCGCCGCACGGAGGCCCCGCACCGCCATCACCCCGCGCAGCCGCACCGCCCCCTGTTCCGCCCCGGGCGCGGGGTTCCGTTTTCCGGAGACCTTCTCGTCTTATCTGAACCGAGCGCGCAGCTGCCGCGCGTTAATAACGGTAGCCTTTAATTAATTTCACGCTCGTATGGCGTCTGGCGCGCGGCTCTGCGCTGCCGGGGGACGTCCGGTTCGGGTGAGAGCGGAAAACCTCCGCCCGGAGGCGGTGCGGCCCCAGCCCTGGAGGAGTCCCGGGCCGGCAGCGCTCCGCCCGCGGCGGGGACGGGAACCGCGTGGCCTTTACCCCCTCCGACCCCACCGCTCCACGATCCCACGGTGTTCCCGAGGATCCGTCCGAGCCACGCTGCGCCCAGCGGGGCTCTGCCGAGAGGAGCTCCGGGCGGTGGGGAAATGGGCTCGGGGCTGTTCTGCGCCCCGCTTCGCGCTCCCCCCGCAGGCGCTGTTCGGGGGCATTCCGCCGGGACGGCGCCGACATCACCGCGTGCGGCCCCAAATCCCCCACGGCTGCGGGAGGAGGCGGAACCGCCCCGTTCCTCCGCTCGTGGTTGTGCAAAGGCGGCGCTGACGGCCGAACGCGTCGCGTTTTCTTAATTTGCACTATTAGTAGAAGTGGAGAAGTGAAACATGGCTGTGACAAAGGGAGGGGAAAGCCGGCACCGCAGATTCCTGCTTTCGGGCCGACGTCACCCGGTCCTCGTGGATCACGGCGGGGAGTTTCCCAGCTGGCAGCGAGGGCTATAAGACGCTGGTAGGGATGGGGTGCGGCCGCACAGATCGCATATGGGCACATCGACCTTCGCGATGTGGAGAGCTCTGCTGTGCATCCACGCTGTCCTGGTGAGTGCTTGTGGAGCAGGGCTGCGGGAGGCGGCGAGCAGCGACCTCAAAGCCATGAGATGGGAAAGCTCTGGGGCTGGGATTTGGGTGGGTGCTGAGCCCAAGGTGAGCAGTGCGTGGCCTGCAGCTCGTGTACGCAGATGGTGCGGGGCCAGGGACAGGGCTGATGGGGTCTGCGTCCCTCTGTGTGACTGTAACCTGTGCCTGGGGCTTCTCTCTGCAGTCTGCGACCCCGCACAAGGCAGGATTGATTTCATCTTCGTCTCATAGCAGCCGACTCCAGGGATTCCACACCCAGGTGAGTACATGGGGTGCTTCTGGGCAGCTGGGTCTGTACAGAGGTTATAGGGGCCAAGCAGGAAGGAGAGAAACTCTTCCCAGTGCAATCCAGCCTGTCCTGCACCTGGGTTAATGCTGTAGGAAGCAAAGGAAGGATGTGAATCCTTTCTTAGACATGATGCACAGAGATCCGCTGCGTTTCCAAGGTCATTGCTGCCACTGCTGCAGTCCGGGTCGTGGTTCCTCCTCGAGGAAGGAGGGTTACAAGGATCCTAACACTGCATTACAGCTGTGCACATCAGACTCACCTCAGGGCAGCGCGTGGAACGCAGCCTGCAGGCGGCGTGGGGAAGGTGGAGGCACTGAGCGGAGCTGCACTGTGTGGAAAGCTCTACGACAGCACTGCGGGCACAGATCTGCAAGGTGGGATGCTGACACGGTCTGTTCTTTCAGGAAGCGCCTACGAACAATGGTCATCTCATTGAGAAGGTCTGCTTCCATGGGTAGAGCCCACAGCCCAGCTGGGAGAGCCAGAACAGCGACTTTGCTGACACTTCCTCGCTCCCCCTTTGCACCACCGCTCCTCAGCGGCTCCAGGAGACAGAAAGAGGTTGGTGAGAGTTGGCTGCAATGTCATCTGCAGCCCAGCTGGTGTGGGACACTCGACGGGAGGGGAAAGGAGCTCTGCTCTTCAGCTTCTCGTCGTGGTGTTTCATGGTTGGGAGGCACCAAACTCCCGTAAAAACACTGTCCCTGTTTGCTCTGCTTTGCACTTCTCACGGGACAGAAAGTTTGGTATTTCTGTACACTGCTTACTGTCTGTCTTATTCAAAGCAACAAAAATAAACACCATTAAGTCTGTGTTGGAGAATTTTATTTGCTGGTCAGAAGGCCCCTGGGAGGCCTGGGAACAGGGCTGGTATTTCCAGCCAGCTGTGGGGAGCCACTTCTGATGGAAAGCCTTTCTGCCTAAAGCCTCTGCCCTTCATCTCAAGTCTATCAGTGCTCACTTCACTGGGTGATTTGTACGCCCTATGAATCCCAACAGCACCCAAGCAGAGAAGGCATTAACCAGGTGAGGCTGCTGTGACTTCAAATATCAGTAGAAATAGGAACAGTATGTTACCAGCATCTGTTCAGGCCCAGAAAGCCCTCTGAAATGGCTGAAGCCAAGTTGCTCAAGGAGAAACAAGACTTTGCAACCTTCGTGAAGTCTTAGAGTAACAGGACACAGTTCCAGAAGTAAGCATCTTTTCCTCACACCGCAGTATTTCTTCTGGCAAAGAAACAAAGCTAGCTGCAAAAAAAAGGCTCTCTGTTCTATAAGCATGAAAGTGCCATCAGTCCAAGGGCAGGGAGAGAAGCCCTCCACTGCTTGTCACAAGGCACGGGTGAAAAGGAGACGTAAGGCTGGATGCAGCGAGTCCAATTTATCCCTTGTTTTATTCTCCTTCCTGAGCTCAGAGCTGAAGGTGCTTCTCCATCTGCTCTCTCAACTTGTATTTCTGAATCTGAAACAAAGCAGAGGTGCAGAGGCTCAGACAGCACGGCAGGGCACGGCGTCCCTCGTCCCACAGCCCCTCTTACCTTGCCTGAGACAGTGAGTGGGTACTGACTCACAAACACGATGTAGCGCGGGATCTTGAAATGGGAGATCTGGGAAGAGAAAGCCACAGCTCCACAACCTGCCAGGAGCAGCGGCGCAGCACAGCTGCCTGTAGCATCCACAGCTAAACCGGGGCTGCGGGGACCAGGTGAGCAGCACCGCTGCATTTGCAGCCCTCCAGCTGCTGCTGGTCGTGGTGGCCAGGCAGGACACTGGAGCAGGGCACACAGGAGCAGAACGCACCTTCCCTTTGCAGAAAGCTTTAATGTCATTGGCTGCGCAGCTCTGCCCAGCTCTCAGTCGGATGCAAGCACAGATCTCTTCCCCCATCAGCGAATCCTTCACTCCAACCACCTGGTGGGGACAGAAGGACGTGTGAGCCTGGAGACGGCCCCCAGCAGCTCGCTGTGCCTGCAGGGTGTCGCAGCCCTGACCCCCGCAGGATGCTCGGGGTGGAGTTGTGCACTGGGTGCCACAAACAGCCTGCCAGAGCTTCCTATGAGTCACCAAACCCTCCTGGAAGGAATTCTGCCGTCTGTTGGAGGAAATGTGGCACAGCAGGATGGGCACCCAGACGTCAGCGCCTTCCTCAGGTTCTGCAGTCACTGAGGTCAGGGCTGAGTCAGGGCAGCCGGGCCTCTGTGAGAACGGAGGGGAGCTGACATCTCATTTTGTGCCTCTGTTTCCCCAGCTGTAAATATGGGGCAATAGGTTTCATGACCAACAGACTTGGGAAATTGTTTCAGTTGCTTTGTGTTCTCACGATGAAACAGCAGGAGAGGGATGAAATAGAACTAATGGATTCTTTGGAACCCTTATAAAGGCAGAGCTTAGTTCACCACTGCCTGTGACGCCAGGAGATCAGACCACTCCAGGGGGGCCTCCCAGGCCTGATCTCTGAACTTGTCTCACACCATTTCACACGAGTCCTCCTGCCATCCCTGCCTTGCCCAGTGCCTCAGAACCCGAGATGTGTCGACCCTTGAGTCCGGAGCAGTGACACGCAGCCCTAAGAACTGCATAGACAAGGCTGGTTTGCATCCCATCTGCAGCAGGCTGTGCCAAGGAGACGTGCCAGCCTAGCACAAGCACAACACTTACTGAACAATTGGTTTATTTATGGGGAAACTTGTCTGGCACAAAACATGGAGGAAAACAATCCCAGCAGACTGGGAGCAGCTGCTCAATGCTGCACATCATTTCTGTCTTGTGAGTAGATAAAACTAAGTCTAACTCCTCATCTCCAGGGATTTGCTGGAGGAGTCTTTTTTGATTTAGGAGTGCAGTAGTTAATTATCAGTAAGAGCTGTCCTTGCAGACTGCTTTCCAAGTCAGAATTTCAGGGAGCATTATGAAAGTGGACAGGCAGTTTAAAAACTGAAGAATGAGTCACTGCTTTGCAGATGTGAAACTGTTGCACAAAGATTTTGTCTGAACTTGTGTGCCCGCAACGCTGAAAAGAAAGACCCAGAAGCTCTGCCCACCCCATTCCTGCCCCCACCAGCTGCAGAACGATGCTGCACTAAAGAAGCCGAAGAAGGGGGAGGACAGCCAGGGGCCAGCTGCAGGCCCAAGCCTCCTCGTGTACAGGTTCTTCATCTCCATAAACCGCCAGCCCCGTTCCCTCCTGCTCACCTGGACCTCCTCAATCTTGGGGTGGGTGTGGAGAAACTGCTCAATTTCTGCTGGGTAGATGTTCTCTCCTCCCCGAATAATCATGTCCTTGCAGCGGCCTATAATTCTGCAGTAGCCGTGCTCATCCAGGGTCGCGATGTCCCTGCAATGACACCACAGCCCAAGTGCTGCCCCAGCTGGGTGGAACAGCGCCTGGTTCACCCATCACCTGGAGCCAAGATCAGACTGCCTGGAAGGTAATGGTAAGCTGCCACTGAAACACACGGAAGAAACTCCTGCAGAGATCAGGGAGTTTCTGCTATAGGCAGACACTGTCATGGCAGCATCTACGAACGTCGGGGCTCGGGGGAAGGAGACTCCTGCTGTCCCTGTCCTTGTCTCTGCTGCGTGCCTGCAGCGCTCTGCCTCTTGGAGGAAGCACAGTCACACCAAGGAAATATCTCCAACTCCAGGAGCAGCTTGCTAAGAGCTGTTCTGGAGTTTCATGGAGAGGAACCGACAGATCAGAGGGCTAACTCTGGCCAGTTTTCCCTACTTTGGAAAGCATAGCTAAACCATTCATGCACACATACGTCCCGTGCAGCGTCCCCATCCAGGAGGGACATGGGAGCAGGCTGCTTTCCAGACTCACCCCGTCTTGTACCAGTTATCACCAGAGATCACTTCACGCGTTTTGGCAGAGTCATTCCAGTACCCCAGCATGACACAGTAGCCACGGACCTGAAGCTCCCCAGGAATGTTCAGAGGCACAGGCTTCCCTGTTTCTGGATCCTCAATTTTTGCCTACAGTGGAAGAGAAGCAGAGCCTTTGGGGAGCTGAGCCAAATGTTATGGCATGCAGCAACTCCAGGAGCAGAGAAGACCTGGAGCAAGTGGGGAGGATTCATGTTCACCTCCGTGTGGGGCAAGATGGATCCCACCGTCTCGGCCCTTCTGGTGAAGCTGTCAGTGGGGAATCCCATGAAGGTGACAGGGCTGTTTTCTGTGGTCCCATAGGCAACCTGCAATCACAAAATCAGCAATGTGCCTCAAGAGGAAGAGAGCACAGCTCCAGCCTTGGGAAAGATGAAGTGAGTGATGGCCACAAGGAGATGGGGTGGGAGGAGGATGTTATCAGCAGCCATTCCAGTCACAAGCAAGCGCTGTGCTCTCCTGGCTCTCCAGTTGCTCCTGCCAGAGAGACTCCAGGAGCACAAGGGCTACAGAAGCTCTGACTGCAAGCCGTAGCCTCACCATTGCCCTGCTCCAGACCTCTGCTGCCCAAGGCAATTTGTCTGTCATTTACTTTTGACAAACCAGCTGCTTTTCCTGGAGGACCCCAGGGCCCGCTCTCCTCTTTTTTAACCCCCGTGTGCCTTCCCAAGCCCTGCCCTGTTTATTCCTTGCCACTTCTGCCACATGCTGAACTTGCCTGCACGCCCTTGCAGCCATCCACGCAAGGTGCTGAGTTCACCTTCCATATTCTACAGCTTAGGGCAAAGAAAAAATCACTTGGATAAAACCCTGGAGCCAGCAGTGGGAAACCACGTGCCCCGCTGCGTGGCTGTTTGCTCCAGATCCTTTTGTGCAGACATCAGCTCCCATAACCCTCCTAAAGACATCACGAGGCTGCACAGCGCTCAGCGCAGCTGCACTTACAGACCAAAAGCCTCACAGCAGGACAAAAGCTGCTTGCTGCTAACCCTCCCTCAGCACTAATCCCACCGGCGGGCTCTGAGTCACCTCAGCTGAAGGTCAGTTCTCCGGAGGAAAATTCCAGCTCATTGTGCCCGCTGTGGTGCTGGAGAACTCGCCGGGAGCCAGGAAGGAAGCGCTCAGGGCCACAGCTGACAGCACCACACTGCAACTGCTGCTCGGTCTCCAGCTGCTGTAAGCACTGTGCCACCAGTGGGACATGCTGGAGCCCTTCTCCACTCTCTGAGCCACTTAGAACGTCGCCCATCATCACAGAACGTGTTTGGTTGGGAAAGCACAGCTAGGGAAGGGCCAAGGCAGAAAACATCTGCACCCTCCTCCACCACAGCTTCAAAGACTGATCCATGAGCAGCTCTGATCCACAGAGCTTCAACGTGTTCCTTCTCTTTAGGGCTGCACTGCTGCTGCAAGGGCACGCTGACACCACTGGAGTTCTGCACGGACCTCACCAGGCTCCAGGCACTGTGCCCAAAGCTGATCAGGGACTCAACAAAGGTCCATGGCAAGGCATCCAAGCAAGCTATGCGTGCATCCCCAGCAGGCCCCACATGATAGTGGTGGGAGAGCTTGGCACTCTGTGCCTCCGAGCTGCCAAAGCAGCTCACATTGGGTGCAGTTTGCCGTCACATCTGATGTGCTCACTTGACTGCGGCGGGTCAGCATGAAACCCGAGCTGCAGATTTGCGGGAGCCTCTTTGCCAGGAATCTGGAGATCATCTCCAGGATGCCACAGGAACCATCTGGTGCAAACTGCGACTGCAACGAGGCTTCTCCTACCAGACATAATGACAGCCTAGCAGTCAGGGAGGAAACCTGCAGAGCTGAATGCTCAGAAAGGATTTCTCTTCCACCCACTAATACGGGTCCTGTGGCTGGATCAAATGATTGACGAGACATAAATCCAAAATCTTAAACACTTATTAAA